ATTGTTATTTTGCCATTTATTTTTATCCATTTATTAGTATCTATACTAGTTTCAAAAATAATTTTGAACTTTTAAAGACAATTATAACATGATGTTGACTCGGGTCGACCCGACCCGTTTCGGAGCTCTATCAAAGAATAACTCTCTTCCTAACTCTTCCTTGACCATATCTCTCGATATAATCAAAATAACCTTAATATAATGAATGTCAATGAAATGATTGTAAACGCAACAAATATAAGATACATGATTGTGACGAAAAATGAACAATGAAAAATCAAGCAAATTTATTTAATAAAAATAAAATTTACAACCCAAAAAAAATTTTTTTGCATGTTCTAATAAAGTTTCCATTGTTGCTGCATCATCTGTTGCTGATTCAACATTACCCGAATCATCATTGTTATTTTCGATAAATTTAATATTTTCATCATACTTTCTTTTAGTGTGTTGACATCTTTTTTGAAGATAGTCCAAGATATCAACATTTAGATTGACACCTTTGTAGACAATTATTGTGATAACATGAGTACACTACAATTATTCAAATTAGTATAATTAGTGAATCACAATATACACAATATACGTAATTGCAAAAATGTTTGTAGATGGTTTTCTAGAAATAACAAAGTTTTAGTAATTAAAGGATACTGATTTTGTGCTTTATATACTGATAGTATCAGATTGTTCCTGGATGTGAATCTATGATAATCGTCAACATTCAACATGTATGTGCTTTTTGTAAGTGCATTCTCTACATATTTCTCATGTTCATCTGCAACTTGCCTCTTTTTACGATCTACTGCTCTTGATGTTGTAGTTGCTCCAAGATTTGTATCTACCAAGTCTAAATAGAATGCAAGGTCGAACTTAAAAGAGTTAATTTTTGTATTATTTAATAAAACAAGAAGATAACACATGAACACCGCCATTAATAGAGTTGGTCAAAAAACCCCTTCAAGAAATCTTCGTATTTTCATCAAAATCGTATATAGGACCTTGATAGCTCTAGTGAAATCAATCTTTTCACTTACCTCTTCCACTTCCCCTTCCGCATCTATGGTTTTTACTCTCCTATGTTCTCTTTTTAAAAGATTTTCTACAAAATTCATACAACGAATGTTACATAAAACAACACGTTACTTTCACTAAGTTGTTGTTCTCAGCTTCTTTCCATTTATTGCCTTTCAGTTGACGAAATTTAGCTGATTCAGTGGTTTACATTCTGTGCAACGTTTGAGTAAATCGTATTATTATGAAAGTTGTGGGATTCAAAAGGTATGATAACAACAAAGTGTAAAGCTTCAAGTTTGTGTAATTATTTACACATGATTTATTTGCAAGAATGGGCTACGTGATACCCTTGTAAAAGTATTTAAAACTATAAAAAAAAATTTTTTGAAATCAATTGTAAAAATTCTTTCCTTATGCAGGACGGTCGGTCTCTCCTGTTAGTAAAATACCCAATGAATCAAAAATGAAGCTAACTGCTGGGAAATTGTAGAAGACACATTGTTCGGGTATGCAAAGAATCAATACATGAAGAGTAGGTTCTTTATATTTAATTTGATTTTGTCATCCATAATTCTAACACAATTTACATGATTCTGAACGTTTTACTAGACATGCCCATTCGTTTATAATAAATCTTCATGATAAAAAGATAAAGGGCTTATTTAGTAATGCTGAATGGACTGAATTAACAAAAGAAGACCAACTGAAAAATTTCGAAATATCAGATGAATTGACTAGTCGTATGATTTCTTATAAAAAAAAATAATTTAAAAGAAATCAGAAGTAATTTCATGAAATCTTATCTCAACGATGGAGAAACTTATAATCCTTCTTTGCACCATGATAAAGAATGGATCCATCAATCAGTAAGAGCTCTAGTGAGTCTATGGGAAAACGATTTTGTACCTTTAGCAAGAACACAATATGAAAATTGGTATATTGTCAATTTGATGGGAGCAGTTCCTAGATATTTGTTCCAGGGATCCTAAATTTGGAACTGATATAAAAGGTAATTATCCATTTTTTTTTACTAGTGCAATAAATAAATCATCATTTCTAATGTGATCTTGTTTATGATGCTATATAGAACTGATGTTCCCTCTTTAGCCAGCAGCAATAGAAAAATCGAGGTAAAAAAATAAGATCTAGAAAAACGGTGGGAAGAAAAATCGATGGTATTATTTATAGCATGGATCAAAATATTGAGTTGGGTGCGATTGAGTCAGCTCGACTATTCAAGTGTGAACATGATCAGAAATACCTTCATGAAACATTTAAATGCCAAAAACTTTGAAAGATATGCTAGTGATTTAATTAAATGTCTCAAATTTGTCCAAGAAAAAGTAATTCTTTACAGGTTGTAGGATTACTACATTTTGGCTTAAGATTACAACTTGTTAAAATGTGGCAGACTGGTGAATCCATCACAATATTTAAAAAAAGTAACATGGTTTATCACCTAACATCAAGGTTTGACCCAGTTGGTATTCAGAACTTTCTTAAATTGTTAACAGAGGTATATTTAATCAAGGTAAAATACTTGTCATTTAAGAATAATGAATTTTATTTCTCTTATGTATTATTCCTAATTGGTTGGACCTTTGCTTTACAGAAATAACAATAAACAATCTTAATATTCTGGGCGTGGTATCCAATTCCAAAGCTGAAGAAGAAGATCTTTTCATAAAGTAATTGAAACAAGCGGGCCAAACCACACCACCACCAACAGACAGGTATTTTGCAGACTGCTGGATGTTCCTAAAAAAGCTCAAGCAACTAAAAAATATATTTTTAATGTAAACTCTCGATATAATCCTATAGTGAAGTTTACTTTGGTACCCATTATCTTAACTAAAGCTCAATATAGTGAAGTTTTGTTGATCATTACTTAATTGTATTAAATAATAAATAAATTTTGAATTTAGTAATTTGTCGCAAAAAAATTTTCTCGTGAATATTAACATTAATATATATGAATTTGGTAATTTGTCGCAAAAATTTTTTAAAAGTATTATGTATGAAATGGAAGAATTAAATTTAGTAATAGTGTTGAAAAATAAAGTAATTGAATTTTATTAACGAATTTTAGTAATGTGTCGCGCGCGCGAAAAATAAAGTAACTGAATTTAGTAATGTGTCGCAAAAAAAATAAATTGAATTTAGTACATAGTAATAGCAAAAAAAAATAGTCATATCACGGGATTTTTTGTAAAATTTTTTGTTAAAACCAAATCTTTCTAATCCACGCTATTATTATTATATGGGGCACAAGTGAAAATATGTACTACAAAGTATGATTTAATGACCTCTATTAAATAATAAAAAATCTATAGACGTACTTTATGTGATTAAATAATTCTTGATTTTTATTTGGTTGGCATTATGGAAGAACAGGGTCAAAGTTTCCAGTCGAAACTACTTCTCTTAGTAGCCGAAACACTTTGGGCAAAAATTAATTTTAAATTATTTAAATTAAAATATATAGTTTTTTCATGTTCATTCTTATAAAAAATATTGATATTGCCAACGTTACCTTTTTTCGAAGATAGTTCGGACCGGAAACCTTAAGCAGGACCGTGGAAGAAGTCCTAATTTAAGAAAGTACGAAATTAGTATTACAGGTCAAAATCTTGAGTTGGAAAATAACCTTTTTGTTTTATAACAATCTTGAATCATAATAATAATAAAAAATTGACAAAACTACCTAACATATAAATTCGCCTAAACAACACAGTTCCATCCAACTATTTATCCATCCCAAAACCTTGTATATATTATTAGTGAACACACCAATAACCTCTATTTATTTGACAAATACTACTGTCTGTGACCTAGGAAGGTGTATGACATGTATAGGCATATAAATTATAACATTAGTCTAGACACCATAGTGACGTTATTAGATACAATGGGTTAGACTTGACCGTAATTAAGCTGACAGTATCTGAGGAATATTGTATTGGTAATTCTTGATGATTTAACACGTAAAGATTAAAGCATATTAGTATGAATGGCATTTAAACACAATTTAAATACCAATAATAATAAGAAATTCTCAATAAAAATGCCTATTTTCAACAGTGAACTTTTTTGCTTGCTTTTTTGGTTTCTTACTTCATTATAAAAACCAATGATATGACGTAAATCAGGATAATCAATAAATAGAGCCAAGAAAAATCAAAATCAGAGATAAATCAGACAAACTCCTGTAATAGAAAATATTCAGAAAGAATAGAAAATATATGAAAGGATTCCGAGCAATTATTTGATAAAATATTGGATTGATTGCAATTTAACGAAATAACCATTAAATTCGTGAGCTATATATGTGAAGTACTGCTCCTGATCTGGTTTAGTTCCTACCTATGCTATAAAATCAATTGATGTAATTAAAATTAGGATATTTGCAAGAAAACCATTTAGGTATATGAATGCTTACAGAAAAGGTTGACAAGCCATTTGCAGTTCGAAAATATAATTTTCATAGAAGAGAATATCTGAATTTGTGTTTGGATTAAGTGATATTATTAAAATTATTAAAATTATCTTTGGTTTATTGTTTCCTTTTTTGGAACGTGAATTTGACAAGATGCCAAAATTTCGGGTTTTGCCGCAGTAATTGTCATCTTTAGACCGATTGCACTAACAAAATAATTTATATTGTAATCGTGACATCTAGCAAATTTCAACATTTTGTGGTGGTATGTTCATTCGCCTCATATAAATATTTCTAATATAAATAAGATCGTGTGTCATTCTGGTATATAGATTAACAAATCTCACATAGTGTTAGACAATAAGTAATTTTTCGAATTACAATAATAATGAAATGTAATTAGACCACAAAAAGAGAGATATTATTCCCATTTTTGAATATATTATCTCTTGTTTATGTGCACAGAGCGATTTGTTGGGGGACAATGAAAAAACCATAAAAAATCGCCATATTCCAACAGTCTTTTACTCAATATGCAGGAATTCTTTTATTATAAAAAACTCTTTGTGCCCATAATTTAGAGTATTATACTACAATATTATTCAAAAACGGGAACAATATCTCTCTTTTTCGTGGACTAGTTACATTATAAAAGTATGTATTTTTATTATCATCTATTAATACTTTTGAAATGTAATAGTTCATGAAAAGAGAGATATTATTTCTGTTTTTGAATAAAATTGTAATATCTCTGGTTTATGAACACAGAGGAATCAAGTGTTGGCGACGAAAAAACCCCCGTAATCAAAAATGGTCCGATTGCTCAATGCGCAAAATTTATTTAACACAAGAAAGGAACGAAACATTTGCCATGTCATGAACACCTTCCAAAAACAGTAAGGCAATTGACCTTCCTCACCGATTGTCTCCTTTTGCGTTTAGCCGCGCTTGGTCTTTTCAGCTTTTGGCGCAATCAATGTTTTCACCATGTTTGGCAAAAATTGTGTCGTTTTGTTTCTATAGATTCAATTGCAAGCGTGCATGATGATGAGAGGCATGATCAATGAGCCAGAAAAATTCAATGTTTTTCAAACCTAATTTTTTTGGGAAGGAATTTTTTGTCTGAAATCGATCTACATGATTCAATGAATGTGAATACTGATAAACATTTATCGTGCAATAGTAATAAATATCTTTTTTTCCAACCGAGGAGAACTGTTTGGTAAGAATAAAAAATTTTGTTATTTTACATTTAAGAGCTATTTAATTTCAATAACTGAATTCATTATTGTTTTATTTATTTTATACAATATGCTAACTTTTTGGTGATCTTTCTTTTTTCGTTTAATATTTAGTTAGTGTGAAGAAGATAATACCGTTGATTTGTTTATTTTACTATTATAAGAAAACAATCATTCTATTATTATAAAATTTTTTACTATCGTTATCATTTGTCCTGTTTTTTGGATTGTGCCATTGATTTGAAGGAACGTGTTATGCGTTTAGTTTGTTAATTGTCTATTACTAAAAATGCTAAAAAACATTTTACAATTTACGAATTATCATTTGTCCTGTTTTTTTTTTGGATAATGTGATAACTAATTATTTGTTTATTACTAAAAATGCTAAAAAACATTTTTTAATTATTCGGTTAATTGACAATTGAATTGATTATTATTACTAAAAATAAAGTGTTGTGTGTTTAATTAAATTGACAATTGAATTAATTTAGTTGCTGGAATTATGTCTGAAATTATTTGAACACTTTAACTAAATAGCTGAAATTCTGGGTATTTTTTTTATGACTATTGAGATGAAGAATATTGTAAATCCGAAATTGCTTGCCGAAATTGATTTTTTCAAAATCCATTTCAACTAACATCCTTAGTTGATCAGGAAGATCAACACCTGGAAACATTCAATACTTGTACACAATTTAATCTTTTAGGGTTGCCGATTATCCATAAATCGAAGAGTAGGGCTGTTAGTTGCACTGATTAACCTACTGGAAACTGGTTGTTATTAAATTGTTATTAACTAGCTAGTATTTAAGTCAGATTGGGGCTATAGTGGCAGTATTTAACTCAACCAATTAAGAAACAATCTATCAATATATGTGACAAACAAGAAAAAACCATTATATCATTATCTTATTTATTTATCACTCTATTATTTTATCTTGGATGGATGAACATTTCATCACCATGTGAATCATTCACATGTTTCTTTGTTTCTTAATTTAGTATTAGTTATTATTTAGATCGTTAAAAGGTCCTTCTGATTTGTAATTCTTTACAGCATAAATGATTACACACATGAATGGAAGAATCTTGGAAATAATTTAATTAATAATTATTTATAATAGGAAATATTTAAATCATAGAATAAGATATATCAGCTGCGATTTGTATTACCCAAACTCTGGAAATCAATCGACAGAGTTTCACACCAATAGAGGATTTGGCAAGCAACCTTGGATGGATTCTTGGTCTACAGACAATTAGTCTTCAACAATGTTACTAAATTAACCCCTTCGGGTATTCACTTTCTAATTGATATACCCACACATAAACCACCTCTTCTTAATTAATTAGAACCTTACTACTTAGGGATGTCTCTAAATAGTTGTAAATATTGCTCTTCTTCAGGCCCTATGACTTTATTTTATTTTAATCTCAGTTGTAGCCAAGTGGCTAAGTTGGAACTTAGTCAGATTGGGTAGGACGCTTCTACAATATTTATGAATCTCTGTAGTAACTGAGCGACTAATTTGTAGATTCGTTGGAATGGCTGGATCGCCTCCGGGATAAATAGTTTTTTTAGTTATTTTAGTATTATGTTTTATCCTAGGATTGTTGGTTGTAACCAACATTTATTTAGTGTATAAGTTTTTAGCAATATTGTTTAGTATTCTATTTCATAATAACATCACCCACCCATAACCTCACATAAGAAAAGAAAGAATTAATGAACATATGTTCTTCCACTCAAATTTTCTCTAAAAAAATGAATTACAAATATGCAGTTTATATTTTATTAATGAAAGCAAATAATACCAAGATAATGTTTAATTTAATCATCTGTTTCCAATATAAATCTTGACTATGGAATGACTGAATCTTCTCTATCTCTATGATATTTTAATGTTTCACAGAGTGCAAGCCCCCACCTAATAATTTTTTTTACAAGGTTAATGATCTCTGTAAATTTGTGAGGAGTTGTGCAGCACAAATATTTTTCACAACCCAACATTCAGGTCCCTCCAATGTTATCATAACAGCTTCAATGTGAAAACCTGATTTCATAAATGTTATTTAGCATGAATATTTTTAAAATACTACTACTAATTATATGAATTAAATGATTACTACTCACCAAATGCTTGTAAACACACAACACCATTTTGTTCAAGGTTACACTTATCAAGAAATGGGTGTTTACATATAATAAAATTTACCATTTCCTTGCAAATTTTGTTAATTTTACTCTTATCATTTGTGATCTTTGGTAGGTCCTGCAATGGATGGTATGAATAATTGAGTCAGAGCAAATAGAACTTCTTACAATTTATATACAACAATAGATTAAATCATTACCATGCTTAATGGCTTTCAGTTACTTCCAAAGCAATCAAATCATATTTATTATTTAAAGTTCCTAGTGTATTTACGGATACCATGGATACCTTTAAGGGGGTTACACACTAATAAATCAGCAAAAAATCACTTAAAAGCACTTGATTTTAATAGTGTGTGACTCTGTGTGACCTCCTTACGGTATCCGTGAATACAAACCCTACAAAGCACCATCTCTGCCATCCTTCAATACATTATTCATTCTTAGTTTCATGATATTTGATGCTGATTTACATTCACACCATTGTAATCTTAGTCTTGGATGGACACAACTTAGTGCACTACCAATTATAGGATACAAGCACTTGCATGTATAGGCCCTTTCTGTTGTGCATGGATCCTCCAACATTTGATTCAAACAAAAATCATCTATACTGTAAAACAAATATTTAATTTTCATTTATAAAAATTTCAGTTTCTTAAACACACAAATTCAAATTTGTGAACCTATAATAACTCATAAATCTTTCTCACATACACTTCCTGGTCATAAATATAAGGACACTTGCAGATCATCGGAAATAATTGAATAAAGAAACATGAAAAAAAAT